CTCCCAGCCAGCCTTCCTGCGGTCCTCCCAGCCAGCCTTCCCGCGGTCCTCCCTGCCAGCCTTCCCGCGGTCCTCCCTGCCAGCCTTCCCGCGGTCCTCCCACCCAGCCTTCCTGCCAGGCTCCCAGCCAGCCTTCCTGTGGTCCTCCCACCCAGCCGTCCCGTGGTCCTCCCACCCAGCCTTCCCGCGGTCCTCCCAGCCAGTCTTCCCAAGGTCCTTCCTGCAGTCCTCCCCGCCAGCCTTCTCACAGTCCTCGCCCCCAGCCCTCCCGCGGATCTCCCAGCCAGCCTTCCTGCCAGCCCTCCCGCGATCCTCCCTATGGTCCTCCCCGCAGTCCTCCCAGCCAGCCTTCCTGAGGTCCTCCTGCCAGCCTTCGGTAGTCCTCCCGATGGTACCGCCCCCGCCCACCCCACCCCCGCCAACTTCACGCCAACCTTCCCTCAGTCCTTCCCACAGGCCCCCCCACAGGCCCCCCCACAGTCCCCCTGGCCATCCATCTGGCGGGCCTTCCCTCCAGCCTTCCTGCAATCCTCCCCTGGGTCCTCCCGGCCAACTTCCCGTCAGCCTCCCAGCGGGCCTGTGTGCACCACTGAGCCCCCCATTGGGAGCCAGAGCACAATGCCCTGTGGTGTGCAGACCAAGTCCCAGGAGGCGAGTTGCTCCCTTCCTAGGCATCAGCACAGGCAGCCTGTTGTGACAGAGAGGTGACTGTCAAAAGTCCAGAGCGGGTTTTCTTTGGGACCTAATGCTGTTTCTGTTCTAATAAAATTCTGAACCTTCAGATTAATTTTTAAATTTTATTTAGGATCAATTTATTTCCTGATGGAGCTTATAAATGAAATAAAATATTGAATGTGACCCAACTTATGAATTGATTTTTCTAGGTAAGGAAACAAGATCTATATAAATAGTAAAAATGTATACATATTTGATTTCACCCAAATTTGAAAACCACAAATCCATCTCCAGTGCACACTGAACATTGAACAAGGGAAGACATATGCAATCAGAAGAAAAAACTAATTTCAAAGTTGAGATCATATGCACTGTCTACTAACCCCAACAGGATTTAATCATAAATCATGAACAAAAATGAATCTGGGCAATCCCCTTATAAATAGGACAACACAAGCTGGGCTAAGTGGCGCACACCTGTAATCCCAGCGGCTTGAGAGGCTGAGGCAGGAAGATGGCGAGTTCAAAGCCAACCTCAGCAAAAGTGAGTCACTAAGCCAATCTGTGAGACTCTTTCTCTAAATAAAATACAAAAACAACATACTC